ACGGGAAGGTCCGTCTGGAAACGCTCGCGGAGCTTGAGACGAACAGCGCGGATCCAAGGGATCAAGACAGCAGGGACCTCACCCTTGGTGCGCAAGGGGAAGACCGTGGTGTACCGCGAGTAGTCGTCAACAACCAGCAGAAAGTATCGCTCGCGGCCCTGTCCCTGGACGCGGGCGGGGCCCCACACGTCCATGTGGAGAGTCTGCAGGGGAGCGTCTGTCGGGGGAAACGAGGAGGAGTGAGGAGCGGCGCGCTGCCGCCCCTCGACGCAAGGAAGACACGGCGGGGCAGGCGAGCGTGGGAGCGCGGGAGCGACGGCAGCGACTGGGGAAGACCAGAGACAAGCAGACGGGAGTGCATGCCACGGAGGCGCGGCAGAGAGGGGTGACCGAGGCGGTGGTGCCAGAGGAGAGTCTGGTGCGACAGGCGACGACACAAGCAGGGGGCAGACTCCGGACCGGACAAGGACACCTGACCAGTAGCAGCAACCTGGGGAGACCCGACAGTCAGGGTGTACAGACTCGATCCAGGACGATGGGTGAACGTGGCCAGGTGGCGGCCCGTGCGGGCACACGTGCAGATCGCCACACGAATTCCTCCAGGGGTGAAGGTGTCAACCCACTCATCCTGGATGACGGCGTTACTCACCAGGTTCGTAGAGAACGAGGGGAGGTGGAGACCTGTAAGTGAGCCAGACGGGACCGCCGGACACGGGAGGACAGTGGAGGAACGTGCAAGGACAGGTCCCCCTAAGGGGTCAGCAAGGGGGACCGGAATCGGTGCAGAGAGCGGTGTGAATGTGGTGCTGTCGCGGAAGAAGCAGCGGGAGGCACCTGAGTCTAGCGTGAAAGTGTACAAGGCCTCAGTAGGCGCAGTACCTGAGAGAGCAGACTCACTAGCACCTAGAGCAGCAGACTCGCAAGCACCTAGGGTAACAGACTCACAAGCACCTGGAGCAGCAGCCTCTATACCAGGGTCTGGCGGAACACACAGGTAACAGTCACCCTCAGCACTAACAGTCAATGCATACATGGCAGCAAGGATAGCATCATAGTCAAGATCAAAGATCTCTACGTCCCTCTTAAGCAGCTCAGCCCAGTTTGGCATCTCAGAGCAGTTAGGAAACTGAGCACGTCAGGCGTCACTAAGGCGGGAAAAGCAGCGGTGCTGGGTGTGCAACCTCCCGCAGGTCTGACCAGCACGCTCACCCGTACGAATGACATACGGGCAGGTACCACCACCCCCAGGCGACTGACGCTGCGCGTACCACTCACGAAGGTCCTGCGGCGTACGGGGCAGGCGCTGGCGCTGCTGCTGCTGTGCCTGGCTGCCTCCAGAACCGTCGCGCTGGGCCGCACCACTGCGACCACCGCCACCGACTCCGCTGCCACTCCCACCACCGCCACCTCCGCCGCTGCCACCTCCACTGCCGCCGCCACCACTGACCCCAGCACCCCCACCCCCACCCCCGCCACTCCCACCACCCCCGCCGCCACCACCCGAGCCTCCACCACCGCCTCCACCCCCACCACCCCCACCACCCTTGCCGCCCTTCTCTTTGCCGCTGCGGCGCCTGCCACTGGAAGCAGACGCAACCCCAACCTCCTCAGCACCAAGGAGGTCGACAGCAGCAGCAGTGGTGACAGGGGGGAGGAGGGGAGAGGGGGAACACCCCTCGAAGAAGGGGGTGCGAGGAGTGCCTCGAGAAGCGCCCACAGCGTTAATGCTAACCTCGGCCGCTGTAAGGTGCTTTTCGAGGAGGTCTATAGTGAGCTCAGTGGGGTCCATGGCGAGGAAGGTGTCCCTGACAGCGCGAAGAGAGTCAGGGAGGCGAGTGACTAGGAGGTAGAGGGTGTAGTGGATAGGGGGAGGGTTCTTGGTGAGGAAGTCGGCAAGGGTCGCAGCCCGCACCCGAGCGTCGCTAGTGTGGAGGTGGGTGATGAGATTAGCGACTGTGGGAAAGGCGGACAGGTCAGGAAAGAGGTAGGGCAGGATAAGACGGCCTAGCGCAGCAGTGGCAGGCGAGCTGTAGCGAGCTACGACTGCGTCGAACAGGTCCTTGGCGGTTTTCTGTTGGCTAAAGTGCGCGCGCTCGGCTAACGGTAGGTGGTTTCGCAGAGCTAGGCGAGCAGCAGCGTCGCGAATAAGCCACTGGTCACGAGTGTCAGCGTCAGCAAGGTCTGCAGGGGCGGCAGGTGCTACCAGACGTATGAGCGAACAGGGACACACGATCCTTAGACTCGCACTGAAGGTAGAGCCTAAGGTCGTCTAACCAGGTCTCAAATTCGATCGGGCGGCCCTCTGCGTCAAAGGTGAGAACATTGTAAGTCGCCATCGTTGGTAGCGCAGGGCAGCAAGGCGGCAGGAAGGGCAAGCGGCAGGAGGCGTGCACAGGGCAGCAGGTGGCGGCGCGCACTGGGTTAGGGGCGGCCGGCAGGGGAGGAAGCAGACTGCACGCACGCGTAGGGCAGGGGGCGCGGCGGGCGGCGCACGGGTAGGGCAGGGGGGCGCAGCGGCGGGCGGCGCACGGCCAGGGCAGGGGGCACGGCAGCGGGCTGCGCACGGGCAGAGTAGGGTGGCGCGGCGGCGGGCTGCGCACTAGCAGGGCAGGGGGCGCGGCGGTGGGCTGCGCACAGGCAGGGTAGGGTGGCGCGGCGGCGGGCTGCGCACGGGCAGGGCAATTAGGGTGGCGCGGCGGCGGGCTGCGCACGGGCAGGGCAGGGGGCGCGGCCAAGGGCTGCGCACGGACAGGGTAGGGTGGCGCGGCGGCGGGCTGCGCACGGGCAGGGCAATTAGGGTGGCGCGGCGGCGGGCTGCGCACGGGCAGGGCAGGTGGCGCGGCGGCGGGCTGCGCACGGGTAGGACAGGGGGCGCGGCGGCGGGCTGCGCACGGGCAGGGCAATGCGCGTCGGCGGGCGGCGCACGGGCAGGGCAGGCGCGCGGGCGGCGGGGCGAAGCGACAGCAGCGCGACGCGGCCAGCAGCGCACGCGGGGTGGGGCAGGCAGAGCAGCGCGCTAAAAAAAAATGCGCGCTGCAGCAGTGGCGCGCGGCTAGCAGGGGCAGCGCGACTCGGGGTAGGGCAGTGGGGTAACGTAGTAACCGCAGGTAGAACGGTGGGCCCTAAGAAGAATGGTCCTTAGGAAGGATCCGCTCTGAAACCATGTTAGAAGGCTAGGATAGAATGGATGAACTAAGGCGAGAATGTGATACAATTATGAAACTCTAAAGGGGTTGTACCCCTTAGTGGCTACCCCACTGTAGCCTACAAAACACAAACAACAAATATAGTTCAACAGCTCGGGGCAGCAGGGCGCTACGCGCGGGCTGCCGTAGGGTGCGTCGGGCAGGGCAGCGGGCGCGACGCACGGGGCAGCAGGGCGCGACGCACGGGCTGCAGCAGGGCGCGACGCGCGGGGCAGCAGGGCGCGACGCGCGGGCTGCCGTAGGGCTCGTCACGCAGGGCAGCAGGGTAGGGCGTGCGCGGGCAATGCGACGCGGGGTAGGGCAGGGCGTGCGCGGGGCAGCGCGACGCAGGGTAGTGAGGTAACGCGGTAACCGCAGTCGGCTAAAGTATGGTGGGCCCGAAAGAAGAAACGGTCCTACGGACCTACTGCTCTGATACCATGTCAGAATCCCAACCAAGTAGGAATGAGTGCATTGAATGAAATGTGGGTACAAGTACTAACCCTAACTTTGGGTTGTACCCCATATGGGCTACCCCACTATAGCCTACACAGAACTAGCACAGATGTAGTTTGACACAATGTGCTCGGCCATTCCAAAGGGCGTCGGCTCGTCCTAGCGGAGGCGCAGTCGCGAGCATGCAAACGCTAACGCGGTGCGTGCGAGCTAGATAGTGCTAGGCCGTCATTAGGGTTCGGACTAATCCCGAAACATAGGTAGGCCGACTTGGCCGGGCCAGCGGTGCATGGTTTGGTAAAACAGTGCGCGCGAAGTTGGCGAAGCCCCGTTAGCAATAACGGGCGAATAACGGCTGCTCCTGTACGCAATGTTGAATAACACAGTTAGGAATGTGGAAAAAAATCTTAGAGTAAGCAATAAGCAGGGGCGCAAAGTAAGAAAAAGGAATCTTCCTTACAGTGTATAACGAAGTCTGTTGCACAGCAAAGATAGCGAGCTTCGGCTTGTACAAGAAGATATTTCAAGTTCGCTGCGAAATTTACCAATCAATAGCCGACGCGTGCTTATGCGTCCCACCTAGGCAAGCCACAGTGCGGGGAGGAACACGACGAACGAACCCATTGAATTCAGAAGAACACTGTTCAAGGTCGGGCAGGGTGTACTGTATGCCCTGAATTGCGGTCAGCCTGGTGGTGTGTTGCTTGCTTCGGTTCGGTCAGTGCTGCCCGAAGTGGCTCCACCACAGCGCTAGCCCTAGCTGTCCGGAGCGCGAGAAAGGAACAACCCTGGCCTGGAAACTAGGCGAGGCGCATAAAGTGTATTGTGCCTTGGGTCAAATCAGTAATTGCACTAGATCCCACTCAACCGCAATTAAGCGTACATAATCGCCCAATATAGTTCGGGAGTTAACTGTAACTGGAGCAAGTGAGCGGCATCTTGGAGAAGTGTTCAGTGCTGGCTGCCGTAGAGCCTGCTGGAGCAAGGAATTGCTGGCGGGAAGCCCATTCACAGGTTACGAAAGCTGTATGGCGTTCAAGTACGGTTCGTTTAAACTTTGGAATGGTGTGATGCGTAATGAGAATCTCTTGACGGGAGAACACCACTGGTGGACGCCGCTTCACCCCACAGTTCCTCCTGTGATTTGTGTTCCTAGCACTGTAAGCACGTTCCTTCTGGAGCCATTCTGGACTCGGATGCGGAGTTTTCTCGCAAACACTCCTCGAAATTCGCCCGACGTGATAAATGTAACAACGCGAAATGGTTCCGAGTCGTCGTTCCGTCGGATCGCGAGATCGTAGTCATGATGCGCCGCTGAGAGCAACATCGTCGTGCAAATTAGTACCGCTCGTAGTACTGATGCTCGCGCTGGTCCCTGCCGTGCTTCCAAGTCACCGCGCTCTCGCCGCGACTGATCCTGCTCACGGTACTAGGCAATAACTTCCGACACAATATTACTATAGGAAAATGATACGTTTCCGAGACGCCTCAACGATTGCCCCCAAAACAGTCGTTTTGAGAGCTCTTCATGTAGTAACGCCTGTGGGGCTTACACGTAAGGGTTGAGTGCCTCCACTGCGCCTCAACGATTGCCCCCCAAAACAGTCGTTTTGAGAGCTCTTCAAGTCATTCTCGGGTGTGATAAGTCGATTTTGAGTCGACACAAAAATTCAAGTCATTCTCGGGACGGTAGAATTATCGTGTCACTATAAGGCCATTGTACTACATCTGAGGCGTTCAATACGCGGTCTTGACGGCCATTTTACTTCTGAGGATGCCGCATGTTGGTCTGCGATGTTTATCAGGCGCTGTAAGGCGGCGAAGGCGAATCGCGGGTGCTGTTTCATCCAATTTGAGTCAAATTAGTTTGACTCGTTCAACATTTACGGCGATCATCATCCGCATTCACCCCGATGCTGGTTACGTAACGAAGACCTGTGCACAATACTATGTTCGATAATTGCACAGCTCCCAGCGGAGTCCCTGCTAGTGCGAATGGCCGGGGAAATTATGATTCAGTGCATTGATCTGGGGCTGGTATTGTCGTTAGACACGAAATACCTGTCAGATTGCGATGCATTTCGAAACTGCATCGCGAAGCTCCGTACTCCCCCCTACTGTCCCAACCCAACCCCTTTTGCCTTCAACCGAACCATGATGAAGTGCTCAGAAATAATCCCCTGGGATCACCCTGTGTCGCAAGCTCCTCTGATTTCAGAGCACCTCAGAAACAATCGGCTCCCCTGAGTCGCGTTCTCCACCCCCTCAACATCCCTCTACTCCCCTCCTCTCCCCCCTTGCTCTCCCTCCCCTCGTTCCCCAGGCCAATGATTGACCGCATCGGGCGAATCCTGCGAGCAACGCACCCACCCCTCATGAAAAGGAATGTACGAACAACGACCCTTGTTTTACCATCCTCAAGACGACACCCTCCGTCCAATCTCGCCCCCTCTCTCTTTCCCACCCCCCCCCCCCCCCCCAATTCATTAACCATCATGTGGAATTCCATCACCTTGAGAAGCGCAGGCAACACAAGCGGGTGTGCACCTCCCATAGCATCCTTCCTTCGTTCCTCTCGCCCTCACCTTCATTCGTCCCTCTCCCACTCATCCGCCTTCCAGTGGCCATTCATCACACGACCTTCGCGGCTCAACGCTACGCCGTCCGTCAGCACTGGGGTCATGGGCCATGACATGAACGGCTGATGCCCAATGCTCTCGAGGCGCCACACGATATCAATTTCCTATCCCTCACCTTCAATCTGACCCTCTCTCACTCACCCGCCTTCCAGTGTCCATATGGAGGAAACTCGCGGCTCTAGTCTCTAGGCCACCCTTGGTAGCCCAACCCAATCCATGCACACGGCTGGTACCTCATAACAATACCTCCTTTGCATCCCCCCCCCCCCCCCCCCCCCCCCCCCCCCATCAATTATCCACCTTCCAGTGCGCATTTGGAGGACCTTCGTGCCTTTAAGCCACCTTGGTAGCCTCAACCCAATCAATACACCCGGCTGATAGTACCTCATTACGATACCCTCGTTTGCGTCTATCTCCCGCACTCACCCTCCTTCCAGTGGCCGTTCTAAGGACGTTCGCTGCTCTAGGCAACCCCAGCAGCCCCCCTTTCAACGCGTGGACGGGGGATGATCCGTGCGGGGCAGATGTGGGGAGCGCGTGGGCTGGCATCAAGTGCGGCACTGGCAGCCCGTTCAACACCGTGGCTGAGATGTGAGTGCAGTGCGGGGGACTGGGGTGGTGCTGCTCTGTGCTTGGATGGATAAGACCCGTCAACCGTGCAGTGCAGTGCAGTGCAGTGCAGTGCAGCGGTGCTGACGTAGCCAATCTAGAAAAGGACTTGTGAGAAGTTCTCATGCTCCTCTCCCCTCTCTCTCACCCTTATCGGTGACATTCAGGAAGCCAAGCTAACAGAAGCCTTATGGAATCACGGCTCTGCCTCTTCTCTCCTAACCATATTCTTGCCCTGCCCTCCACTCTCCATCATATTCCTCCCCTTGCCCCCGCGCCCTCCTCCCTCAGTGACATTCAGGATGCCAGCCTATCAGGAGACTTGCCGTGTTCTGCCCTGCCCCGCCCTCCAATTTTCATCATGTTCCCTTCCTTGCCCCCTCGCCCTCCTCTCTCAGTGACATTCAGGACGCCAATCTAGCAGGAGACTTGCCTCCTTCCATTTTCAACCTCACATCACTTCGCTTGCTGTGAGTTGCCATTCCCATCTGCTCATCTCATCCCTCTCCTTAGTTTGACTGCATGCCCCTCTTCTCCTTTTTCCCTTCCCCTTCGCGTCTCCTTGTCCTTACCCATCCTTGTCCCTCCCCTTTTCCATCCCCCCTTCCTCAGCAATCTGGCGCTCAACCCGAAACTGACGGGCAGCTTTCCAGATGCACTCGGGAACCTCCTGCAGCTCACCACGCTGTGAGCGCTCTCTGCTGTGCTGCGCTGTAAGCACACTGCTGCGTTGTAAGCACACTGCTGCGCTGTAAGCACACTGCTGCGCTGTAAGCACACTACTGCGATGTAAGCACACTGCTGCGCTGTAAGCACACTACTGCGTTGTAAGCACACTGCTGCATTGTAAGCACACTGCTGCGCTGTACACACTCTGCTGCGCTCTACACACTCTGCTGCGCTGTACACACTCTGCTGCGCTCTACACACTCTGCTGCGCTGTACACACTCTGCTGCGCTCTACACACTCTGCTGCGCTCTACACACTCTGCTGCGCTCTACACACTCTGCTGCGCTCTACACACTCTGCTGCGCTCTACACACTCTGCTGCGCTCTACACACTCTGCTGCGCTCTACACACTCTGCTGCGCTCTACACACTCTGCTGCGCTCTACACACTCTGCTGCGCTCTACACACTCTGCTGCGCTCTACACACTCTGCTGCGCTCTACACACTCTGCTGCGCTCTACACACTCTGCTGCGCTCTACACACTCTGCTGCGCTCTACACACTCTGCTGCGCTCTACCCACTCTGCTGCGCTCTACACACTCTGCTGCGCTCTACACACTCTGCTGCGCTCTACACACTCTGCTGCGCTGTACACACTCTGCTGTGCTCTACACACTCTGCTGCGCTCTACACACTTTGCTGCTGCATTGTAAGCACACCGCGTCTAAGATTTATGCGTACACACTGTTTGTTGTAAGCACACCGCGTCTAAGATTTAAGCGTACACACTGTTTGTTGTAAGCACACACGCGTCTAAGATTTAAGCGTACACACTGTTTGTTGTAAGCACACCGCGTCTAAGATTTAAGCGTACACACTGTTTGTTGTAAGCACACCGCGTCTAAGATTTAAGCGTACACACTGTTTGTTGTAAGCACACCGCGTCTAAGATTTAAGCGTACACACTGTTTGTTGTAAGCACACCGCGTCTAAGTTTTAAGCGTACACACTGTTTGTTGTAAGCACACCGCGTCTAAGATTTAAGCATACACACTGTTTGTTGTAAGCACACCGCGTCTAAGATTTAAGCGTACACACTGTTTGTTGTAAGCACACCGCGTCTAAGATTTAAGCGTACACATTGTTTGTTGTAAGCACACCGCGTCTAAGATTTAAGCGTACACACTGTTTGTTGTAAGCACACCGCATCTAAGATTTAAGCGTACACACTGTTTGTTGTAAGCACACCGCGTCTAAGATTTAAGCGTACACACTGTTTGTTGTAAGCACACCGCGTCTAAGATTTAAGCGTACACATTGTTTGTTGTAAGCACACCGCGTCTAAGATTTAAGCGTACACACTGTTTGTTGTAAGCACACCGCGTCTAAGATTTAAGCGTACACACTGTTTGTTGTAAGCACACCGGCGGGCTGAACGTCCTCTCCTATTCCCCTTTTCTCACCCCTCCGCGACCCCTTTCCTCACCCCAAACAACAAGCAGGGACATGCACGGGTGTGGTCTATCGGGCTCAATCCCAGCCACCATAGGGCGGCTCACCAGCCTCAAATACTTCCTGGTCAACCAGAACCGCCTCTTCCTTCCCCCAACCCTCCTCCCTTCGATAATGCAGGGACATGCACGGATGTGGCCTATCAGGCTCCATTCCATCCACCATAGGCCGGCTCACCAACCTCAAATACTTCCTGGTCAACCACAACCGCCTCTCGGGCTCCCTGCCAGCACAGATAGGCTCTCTCCCCCAGCTCTACATGCTTGACGTCATGGAGAATCAGCTGGAAGGGCCGCTTCCAAAGTTTGAGGGCGCTAACGAGCTCGCCCACCTGTGAGTGACACCCCATCTCCTTGCTCTTCCCTTCCCTGTATCCCTTGCTCTTCCCTTCCCTGTATCCCTTGCTCTTCCCTTCCCTGTATCCCTTGTTCTTCCCTTCCCTGTATCCCTTGTTCTTCCCTGTATCGCCTATATATGCTTAACGCCATGGACAACCAGTTGGGAGGGCGCCTGCCCAACTTCCAGGGGGAATCCAGCTCGGGCACCTGCGAGTGTCACCTATCCCCACTTTCTCCCACCCCTCCTCTCCCATCTCCAATTTCTCTCCCCCCTATTCCCCTCTCCCCCCCTTCTCGCTCCTCGTCTTCCTCCGCTCCCCTTCCCCTTCATCCCTGACCCCTCCCCTGGACCCCACTCCCCCACTACATGAGCCGCAATCTGTTCTCATTCGCTCTCCCCCCCCCCCCCCCGTTCCTCAATTCTTAATCCTCCCTTCCCCTCCCCTCTCCCTCCCTTTCCCTCCTCCTCCTCCTCCTCCTCCTCCTCCTCCTCCTCCTCCTCTTCCTCCTGTCGCCCACCTGCCCTGCAGCCACATGAGCAACAACCTCTTCACGTCCGTTCCAGCAGAGATCAGCCGACTGCCCAAACTGATGCACCTGTGAGTCATGCTGAAGGCACTGTGTCAGTTCGGCTGGAGCGTGTGTGGGTCTTGCTAATCAATGTTTTGAGACGTGTGTGTGTGTGTGTGTGTGTGTGGTTTGAAACACTTCTTTATGCACTGTGTCAGTTCGGCTGGAGCGTGTGTGGGTCTTGCTAATCAATGTGCCCCGTTATCTCCAACCTCAAATAATCAATTAGGCATGAGCAAGGCTGAGGTGACTACCCACCTCGTTTTGGGGTGCCTCGTTTGAGCAACAAGGCGAACCAAGAATCAATCGGCCAGACCAGACATGATAACCATGTTTTAAGGCGCCTCAAAACTTTTGAGTTTTGATTTTTGAGAGGTGCCTTACAAGGCGAACCGAGTATTACATTACTCGGACCAGACATGACGACCATGTCAAGTATTGGCCCGACTTGCCGATTCGGCTCAACTTGAAGTCGGGTCAAGTCGATAAACGTTAGTTGCCTCTCCGTTCAAGATGAACCGGTCCATGTTTCTTCTGCTCAATATGCTTCCACCGGTTCAGTCCTGAGCGGCGTCACAACGCGCCTCGGTCCGCTCTGACTCACGTTGGTCCAAATTCTGGTGAAAAGACACCTTTTAGCTTCTTCCGTCCAACCCCCCACCATGCTAAAACGGTCCCTTCCTTAGAACGCTTAAGGCCCGACCGATCAATGAAAGCTCAGGGCGAACCAAACCAGCTGCTCCATTCTATTATTTTCCGCTGCCCTCTTGTGTTGAGTGGCAGGCTGATGGACAGCAACCGTCTCACCCATGAGTTTCCCCTCGCTTTCAACAACACCAACCTCACTGTCATGTGTGTGTGTGCGGTGCTGCCATTTGTCATTTTCCACCCACCTTTTTGCTTCCAACCTTTCAACGCTTTTTCTGTGAAGCCTCAAATGCGATTCATCACGAGGTGCCTCGGTGTTATGACCAAGTCATTGCGTCGGTGTTATGACCAAGTCATTGCGTCGGTGTTATGACCAAGTCATTGCGTCGGTGTTATGACCAAGTCATTGCGTCGGTGTTATGACCAAGTAATTGCGTCGGTGTTATGACCAAGTCATTGCGTCGGTGTTATGACCAAGTCATTGCGTCGGTGTTATGACCAAGTCATTGCGTCGGTGTTATGACCAAGTCATTGCGTCGGTGTTATGACCAAGTAATTGCGTCGGTGTTATGACCAAGTCATTGCGTCGGTGTTATGACCAAGTAATTGCGTCGGTGTTATGACCAAGTCATTGCGTCGGTGTTATGACCAAGTCATTGCCTCTCGCCCCCACTAGTGTGATCCGTTTTCTCCTCCCTCCCAGCCTCTCCATCCCTGCTCCACCATCCACCTTCTGTCCTCTCACCCTCCCTTACCTTTCTGCTCTCGCACCCTCTCCCTACCACCCTCTCCCTACCACCCTCTCCCTACCACCCTCTCTCCAGCCCTTCTCCACCAAGCAACCCCTCCCACCCTCAGCCATTATCCAAAGCAAGCAATGCCTTCGCTCCTTGGCTTGGGTTGGGTCCATGCCCACCACATTCTCCCCTCTTGCCCACCACATTCTCCCCTCTTGCCCACCACATTCTCCCCTCTTGCCCACCACATTCTCCCCTCTTGCCATCCCTTATCGCTCTTCCTAACACCTACTGCACCCACCTCTTGATACTTTCACTAGACCCTCTCCCCTCCTCCACCTCACCTATCTCCCTGCTCCCTTCCCTGCGCCCTTCCCTGCGCCCTTCCCTGCGCCCTTCCCTGCTCCCTTCCCTGCTACCTTCCCTGCTCCCTTCCCTGCGACTTTGAGTCGACTCAAAAGTCTCCCTGCTCCCTTCCCTGCGTCCTCTCTTCCCTCCCGCCTCCGTTCCCTCCCCCCTCTTTTCCCCCCCCATCCCTTCCTGCCCCCCTCCCTTCCCTTCCCCCTTCCCTTCCCCCCTCCCTTCCCTTCTCCCATCCCTTCCCTCCCCCCTCCTTTCCTTTCCCTCTCCCTTCCCTTCCCCCCTCCATTCGCTCCCCTTTCTCTTCCATTCGCGCTCTCTTCCCTCTCCCTCCATTCTTTCCCCTTCCCTTCCCTCCCACCTCCATGCCGTACCAACCAACCAGCTACTGGAGCCACAATGTGATGCCGGGTCCTCTCCCCTCCACGTGGTTCTTCCCCCGACTCAAGGACTTGTGAGTCCTAGATTCCCATCTCTGAGTTTACTCAAACCACAAACTTGTCGCAAGCCCTCGATTCAGCCCTGGTGCTCTTGTGTGGGTGTCTGGGTCCTTGATTGGTTCTCCCATTTCCTTCGGTTGCTCATAAAAAAGCCTGTAAAAATATAATGCAGAGCATACTTGGTTTACTTGACAGAACAGAAGATAATGCTAGCCTTGGTTGAATCTGATGCATTCTTTGTTTGTAACTGTGGGTATTGCATGACTGTGCATGCTTGTGAATGTGTGTGTGTGCATGCGGCTATGCGCATGTTTGCACACGTTCATGCATGTTTGGATGTGTCGATGTGCATACATCATGCATGTGTCTATGTTCATGCATGTGTATTTCATGCATGGGATAAATTCGATGCCTGCATCGATGTATGTGTGTGGGTGCATGTGTATGTGCGTGCACACATGCGCATATCTTGTGTCTCATCCCCACACAGCCTCTTCAGCAACTGCTCTCTACCCAAACAGCCTCTCCCTTCCTTCCCTGTCTCTCTCAACCTCTCCAACCTGTAAGCCTTGTTTCGTATTCCATCCATCCATCCATCCAACCATCCATCCATCCATCCGTCCGTCCGTCCGTCCGTCCGTCCGTCCGTCCGTCCATCCATCCATCCATCCATCCATCCATGCATGCATACCTCAATTGCTTGTACCATGTGATGAGCTATCTATCCTCTCTTTCCCCCTCCCATCCTTGCTCCCCCTCCTCCGCTGTCCCTATCCCGTTCACCGTCCCTTTCCCCTCTCTCCCTGACCTTGCTCACCCGTTTGCAGTGAACTACTTGACACAGCTTCCCATGCGCCATCAACAACCTGAGCAGCAACAGGTTCACAGGCACCAGTACTGAAGCTCTTCCCCCTTTTCGGTCCCTGCTCTCCCTCCCCCTTTCCCCCACAACGACCTCAGCAGCAACAGGTTCACAGGCGCCATCCCCGGACTCTCTGTTTCAGCAGAACAACTTTTGAGGTGACTAAAGAGTCCCCCTCCCCTCCACTCTCTTTCTCCTCTCTATCCCAGGGACCTGAGCAGCAACAGATTCACAGGCTCCATTCCGGGCGCTCTGTTTTGGCAGCACTCCAACCTCGTCAACCTGTCAGTTCATTCATCACTTCGTTTTGCGTTCCGTGCCGTGCGTGTGCCTTTTCAAGACGACTAACAAACATGTTCCCACCCGCAGAGCTCCAACTCTGTCAACTGCCACCTGTCGGAATACACCCTCACTCACCCTTGCTACCTGCCGGAATACACCCTCACTCTGTTAGAACTCAAAGTGATAACTTAGTAATGAGCCATGAGGCTCTATAATACAAGCATGCAAGAGAAAAAAGAGTGGAAGAGGAGCTAACCGTATTGGCCACTAAGTTGGCCAATGGGTGAGTTGCCTTGCAGAGCAAGCAACCTCACAATGTAGCTAGGTTGGGATTGGTTGGTCTAAGGACCAAATGTTTGCAAGTACCAACCAAAGACCAAGACCAAATCCAATCTTGACCAACCACAAAGTGTGGTTGGAGTGTACACCCAACCCCCCAATAGCGTACTTAAATGACTACACCTATTCTAGCCTATGAATATTGGAGAAAGTATACAATTACAACACACTCTCCCTTGCCACCTGTCGGAACACACCCTCACCCTTGCCACATGCTATTCCTTTTGCCGCAGTCCGTTGATAAATCTCATCGTGCTGCTCATTGTTTGCGCCATGCACATGCACACCTGTGCCATGCACATGCACACCTGTGCCATGCACATGCACACCTGTGCCATGCACATGCACACCCTGTGCCATGCACATGCACACCTGTGCCATGCACATGCACACCCTGTGCCATGCACATGCACACCCTGTGCCATGCACATGCACACCCTGTGCCATGCACATGCACACCCTGTGCCATGCACCCATCACCCTGTGCCATGCACCCATCACCCTGTGCCATGCACCCATCATCCTGTGCCATGCACCCATCACCCTGTGCCATGCACCCATCACCCTGTGCCATGCACCCATCACCCTGTGCCATGCACCCATCACCCTGTGCCATGCACCCATCACCCTGTGCCATGCACCCATCACCCTGTGCCATGCACCCATCACCCTGTGCCATGCACCCATCACCCTGTGCCATGCACCCATCATCCTGTGCCATGCACCCATTATCCTCTCCTCTTTCTCGCCGTCCTCCATCATCTGCAGGAATCTGGCTAACAACGCTCTTACTTCGAGCTTCCCTCCAGCAATCACCACGGCTGCCAACCTGCAATCCGTGTGAGTGGGAGAACCGCCAACCTCAACTCAACCTGTAATTCTGCGTGTGTAGCATGTTTGGCCCTGCGGGCTTTGGGAAAGTGGAGGAACCTAGAAGCCAAGTACAGGACGTGAGAGAAAATCATGTAGTACCGTGACAAGCAGCAGAGCGAGCATGGTCCTGGTCCCACTCCAACAGCTTTACACTCTGCTGATGCTGCCTTCCTCCCAATTTTCCCTATTCTCTCCTCATTCTCCTCCCGTCGGCTCTGTGTTCCCTCCCCATTGCTTCTCACTGTGCCTCAAAGCCATCCCCTCTCCATGCTTGCTCATGCGACTGGCAGTCTCCTCTCTCTCGTTCTGAAGGGGATAAACCGTTCTCATTATTACTCTCATTTCATTGTTTCCTCCATCCGTCCATCCCTTCATCCCTCCCCCAACTACTCCTCCAGCTTCCTATCAGGCAACCAGCTCAGCGGCCCCCTGCCGGACCTCTCAGGGCTGCCCAGCATCGTGTCGCTCTCCCTCTTTGACAACTCCCTCTCCTCCCTGCCGCCCGCTATGCTCGCCACGAGCAACAACATCACGCTGCAGTGAGTGTGCCGCCCCTTCTACCCTGCTGCCCGCTCTCCCTCTTCGACAACAGCCTCTCCACCGTGCCGCCCGCCCTGCTCGCCACGAGCAACCTCACGCTCAAATGAGTGTTCTGCCTGCATTGCTTGCCAGAAGCAACGTCACTCTGCAGTGAGTAGCCTTTTTAGTGTGCCATCACCATCGTCGTCATCATCATCGTCGTTGTCCTCCTCCTCCTCCTCCTCCTCCTCCTCCTCCTCCTCCTCCTCCTCCTCCTCCTCCTCCTCCTCCTCCTCCTCCTCCTCCTCTCCCTCCTCCTCCTCCTCCTCCTCCTCCTCCTCCTCCTCCTCCTCCTCATCTTCGTCGTTGTCGTTGTCGTCCGCAATGATAACGTCCGCAAGCCCTTCCAACTTGATCCCTTGGATTGGATGCTTGCTCTGTCCTGTCCTGCCATACATCACCCGTTTCTCTCCCACTGTTCCACCCTCTCTGTTCCACCCTCTCTTCCCTGCAGGCTTTTCAACAACGATCTCTGCAAGCCATTTAAGCCGGACTACACTCAAGTCTGCTCCCCCCCGACTCCGCTCACCCAATACACTGCCCCTGCATTCTGTGATGGCCTCGCCTGCGACAACGAACTCTACAGCCCGAGCGCACCGCTCTATAACGAGTCGCTCTCCTGTGTGTGCGTATCCCCGTTAAGAGTCGACCTGGAGCTGTTTATATCGGATTTCGTGGTGTACCATGAGGCGCTGGTGCAGCAGCTGGAGCAGCGCATCTTCTCTGAGCTCACCAGCAAGTCCCAGATCAACATCACCAGACCGCAGGTGAGTCGCCGTTCACAGGGCTGTCAGCTTGGTGTTGAGCCAACTCTATAGCAGGGATCCAAAGCTGGACCAGAGCATCTTCTCTGAGCTCACGAACAAGTCTAAGATCAACATCAGCAGATAAGCCACCTTCAATATCAGCAGCACACGGGTCCGTATGTCATCACACCCATCACTCCCCTTCCCTCCCTCCCCTTCCACCCATCACTCCTTCCCTCCCTCCCCTTCCACCCATCACTCCCCTTCCCTCCCTCCCCTTCCACCCATCACTCCCTCCCTCCCTCCCCTCCACCACACACACTCCCCTTCCCTCCCTCCCTTCCACCCATCACTCCCCTTCCCTCCCTCCCCTTCCACCCATCACTCCCCTTCCCTCCCTCCCCTTCCACCCATCACTCCCCTTCCCTCCCTCCCCTTCCACCCATCACTCCCCTTCCCTCCCCTCCCCTTCCACCCATCACTCCCCTTCCCCTCCCCCCCTTCCACCCAACACTCCCCTTCCCTCCCTCCCCTTCCACCCATCACTACTCCCCTTCCCTCCCTCCCCTTCCACCCATCACTCCCCTTCCCTCCCTCCCCTTCCACCCATCACTCCCCTTCCCTCCCTCCCCTTCCACCCATCACTCCCCTCCCTTCCTCCCTCCCTCCCCTTCCACCAACACTCCCCTTCCCTCCCTCCCCTTCCACCCATCACTCCCCTTCCCTCCCCCCCCCCCCTTCCACCCATCACTCCCCTTCCCTCCCTCCCCTTCCGCCCAACACTCCCCTTCCCTCCCCCCCCCTTCCACCCATCACTCCCCCTTCCCTCCCTCCCCTTCCACCCATCACTCCCTTCCCTCCTCCCTCCCCTTCCACCCATCACTCCCCTTCCCTCCCTCCCCTTCCACCCATCACTCCCCTTCCCTCCCTCCCCTTCCACCCATCACTCCCCTTCCCTCCCTCCCCTTCCACCCATCACTCCCCTTCCCTCCCTCCCCTTCCACCCATCACTCCCCTTCCCTCCCTCCCCTTCCACCCATCACTCCCCTTCCCTCCCTCCCCTTCCACCCATCACTCCCCTTCCCTCCCTCCCCTTCCACCCATCACTCCCCTTCCCTCCCTCCCCTTCCACCCATCACTCCCCTCCCTCCCTCCCCTTCCACCCATCACTCCCCTTCCCTCCCTCCCCTTCCACCCATCACTCCCCTTCCCTCCCTCCCCTTCCCACCCTCACTCCCCTTCCCTCCCTCCCCTTCCACCCATCACTCCCCTTCCCTCCCTCCCCTTCCACCCAACACTCCCCTTCCCTCCCTCCCCTTCCACCCATCACTCCCCTTCCTCCCTCCCCTTCCACCCAACACTCCCCTTCCCTCCCTCCCCTTCCACCCATCACTCTCCCCTTCCCCTCCCTCCCCTTCCACCCATCACTCCCCTTCCCTCCCTCCCCTTCCACCCACACACTCCTTCCCTCCCTCCCCTTCCACCCAACACTCCCCTTCCCTCCCTCCCCTTCCACCCATCACTCTCTCCCCGTCCCTCCCTCCCCTTCCACCCATCACTCCCCTTCCCTCTCTCCCTTCCCCCCATCACTCCCCTTCCCCTCCCCCCTTCCACCCAACACTCCCCTTCCCTCCCTCCCCTTCCACCCATCACTCCCCTTCCCTCCCCCTCCCCTTCCACCCAACACTCCCCTTCCCTCCCTCCCCTTCCACCCAACACTCCCCTCCCTCCCTCCCCTTCCACCCATCACTCCCTTCCCTCCCTCCCCTTCCACCCAACACTCCCTTCCCCTCCCTCCCCTTCCACCCATCACTCCCCTTCCCTCCCTCCCCTTCCCCCCATCACTCCCCTTCCCTCCCTCCCCTTCCCCCCAACACTCCCCTTTCCCTCCCCTTCCGCGCTCCACTCCCCTCCCCTTTCCCTTTCCACCCAACACTTCCCTTCCCCTACCACCCACCAGGTCCTCGTCTCTGCCATCAGCAGCCCCTCCTCTCTCTCCCTCCCTCGCCTCCACCTTTGCCTTGGAACATGCAGGCCACCATTCCACGCTCATCATCACCGTCCTCTTCTTGCCACCAGAGGGCAACAAACACCTGCTGGTGGTGGTCCCCTCGCATCACACCACAGCTGGTGGTGGTCCCCTCGCATCACACCACACCACAGGCCACATGGCATCCCCAAAGCCCACCACCCACGAATCAAAGACTTGATTTCTCATACCTCCCCTCTCACTCCCTCCTGTTCCCCTCCTCCCCTCCCGCCCACCAGTTCCGTGTCTCGTCCATCAGCAGCGGCGCCTCGCTCGACTCCACCTTCGCCACGCACACCCATCGCCCCCTTTACCCTTTTCCCTCCCAACAGGTCCGAGTCTCTAACATAAGAAGCCCTTTTTTTGAGGCGCCTCAGAAAACCTTCCCCTTTTCCCTCCCAACAGGTCCGTGTCTCTGCCATAAGAAGCCCCGCCTCGCTCGACTCGCTCGCCTCCACCTTTGCCTCGGAGCACATCAACCACAAGTCAACGCTCATCATCACCGTCCTCTTCTTCCCACCGGGCGGCGACGGCAGCTGGTACCCGCAAGACACACCGCAGGCCATCCGCAACGCCCTCACCACGAGGGACCTTGCCGTGCGCGTTGCTCTCGGAAACTTTGGGCTCTTTCGAGTCGCGGGATTCTACGGCCCGGCGCGTAAGTCTGGTTCCATGCTTTTGTCGGGACGCCTGATGATGTGTTTGTTCGAGCTGAATCACTCCAACCTCGGTAACCACCTGTTTACTGTTTCGGGTCACCTGCCTTTCTTTCCCTTCTCTTGGTCTCGCCTTCCAAATCCAGCATACAGCCCCTCATGCAGCAGGCCTCGTCAGGGCGGAGCACTGGCGCCATCGTGGCCATCTCAGCTCAGTGTGCTCTCTCGCCCCTTATGTTTAACCGTGACCTGCCTTTCCATTCCCTTGTTTCTTCTTTCTCTCCCTCCAAACACAGCCTACAGCCCCCCATTGCTGCCACGGCAGCAGTCGTCGTCTGGGCTGAGCACGGGCGGCATCGTGGCCACTTCAGTGTGTGTCTCTTTGAGACGTCTCAAAAACACCCTCTCTACACGTGGCACGGGCGCCATCGTGGCCATCTCAGTGTGTTTCTCCTTCTTTCTCTGTGCCCTCTCTCTCCTCCGACCCATCCAACCTCCACACAGCCTACAACCCCCCCCCCAGCGCAGCAGCAGCCCTCGTCGGGGCTGAGCACGGGCGCCATCGTGGCCATCTCTGTGTGCTCCGCTGCTGTTGCCATCGCCCTCATTGTGGCTCTGCTCATGCGCCCCTGGGAGAGGCGAGGTGAGCAGAAGGAGGCGAGGTGTGTGGGAGGAGAGACGTGAGAGGGAGGAGAGAGGGGAGAGGGAGGAGAGAGTGGAGAGGGAGGAGAGTGGTGAGAAGGAGGAGAGAGTGGAGAGGGAGGAGAGTGGTGAGAAGGAGGAGAGAGTGGAGAGGGAGGAGAGAGGGGAGAGGGAGGAGAGAGGGGAGAGGGAGGAGAGAGTGGAGAGGGAGGAGAGAGTGAGAGGGAGGAGAGTGGCATTAATCAGGAAGAAGTGAAACGTGAGGAAATGGGGAGGCTTGAGTCCGTCCTTCTCCACGTGTTACCTCATCAGCTACTGATAGGCATGAGCATGGAGCCCGGGTCGGGTCGGACCCGTGGTTTTGCCCGGGTCGGGTCAGGGTTTTCATTTGCCTGCCCCGTGCGGGCCAACCCGACCGACCCGACCCGGGCGGAAACCCGACCCGAGCATGGAACTCGGGCCGAGTCGGGTCGGGCTTTTGACCCGACCCGACTCGATTTCGGGTGACCCGACCCGATTTCGACAGAGTGGGGGTGAAACCCTAACGCTAAATGATGTCGAGGGGATTTTCTCCCCCTCGACATCACTTCACCACACAGGCTCCTATTGGACTTAGATCTGCGCCAATGTCACCTAAAATACCTAACTACTTAGTTTACAGCCCACGAAATCACCAAGGCTGTAATTTTTAGCTAGATTTACTCTACACACTATACACACTTTACACATTTTACACACTTAACCTGCGCATTAGGTTGGTCGCGCTGGTATTCAGTGTAGTATTTCTGTTCACGTTTCCTTAGCGTGAAAGCACTTGTCTGCAAGCAAGCACTTTCCACTACAGATAATAAACGCCCCTTTCCCCTCTAAAGGGGCGGGTCAGCCTGGCCCGACCCGACCCGACCTGACCCGGGCCCGGGTCATTGCTGACCCGAGTGTGTAGACCCGGGTCAGGTCAGAACCTCCAGCATCTTGGCCCGAGTCCGGCCCGACCGGACCCGGGAACCTGGGTGGCCCGGCCAAGTCGGGTCGGGTCGGGTCGGGTCGGGTCGGGCCGGGCCTGTTGCTCATGCCTACTGTCTGAAATGGTTCTCTCACTCTCCCACAGCAACGTGGCTGCTCTGCTCTTACTGGCTAGCGATTTAGGGACAGTGCCTGATGCTGACGTGACAATACTCCACTGTCTCGAGCAAGCAAGACGGAAAGTTATGGATCCTTGACCCTTTCCTCGTGTTCCCCTGCAACAACAAAAACTGCAGACCTGCAGAATTCTCAAAAGCAACATCAACATACTACAGATGCTGGGCGTGCACTGGTACAAGCTCAAAGAGAGGCAATGTGTGCTCCCCGCCCTTTCCCATCCCTTCTCCACCCCTCCCCATCCCTTGCCACTCCTCCTCACTCCTTCCCACCTTTGTGTTCTCCTGCAACAGCGGACCTGTGGAGCGCGGAGGACTACAGGGCGATCGAGGGGCTTCAGATGCTGGGAGTGCACCGGTGCAAGCTCAGGGAGATTGCAGACGCCACCCAGGGCTTCAAGACGCTGCTGGGGGAGGGCGGATATGGACAGGTGTGTACAGGAAAGGGAGGTATATATCTGTTTTTTTCCATCTTCTCCCCATGCCTTACCCATCTCCTCCCCATGCCTTACCCATCTCCTCCCCATGCCTTACCCATCTCCTCCCCATGCCTTACCCATCTCCTCCCCATGTCTGATCTGAGTCACTCTCAGTGTACAGAGGAGTGCTGGAATCAGGAGATGTGGTGGCAGTGAAGCGAGCCAAGGGGCACGTGAAGGTGGGTCAGGAAAAACACTGTGAATCTTCAGGTGGGTAATTAAGCGGGTCATCAGGTGGAAACACATTTTTGCATATATTTCCATGAGATTTTGAGACGTCTCAAAAACTCACTTCTATCTTATCAGGTGGCCGTTTTTGCATATGTTTCCATGTGAGCAAACATAATGCAGCATCCAATTGGGGGGGTGTACACGCAATACTTTCACCACTCCCCACTTCCCCCACCCTCCAACTCACCGTCTCTCTCCCAATCCTCACTTCCCCACTCTCTCACTCACCGTCTTGACATGCCCCACCAGCTCTGCTGCACAGAATTCCGCAACGAGATCCAGCTGCTCTCAGCCGTGTGCCACCGCAACCTCATGCCTCTCAAGGGCTTCAGTCTCTCTCTCTCTTACTCGCGGTCTATCTCCCACTTCCCCACTCCCTGTCCCCCACTCTCCCTCCCTTAGTGTGCCCCACCCACCAGCTGTGCGGCACTGAGTTCCGCAACGAGATTCAGCTGCTGTGTGCCGTGCGCCACCGCAACCTGGTGGCGAACAAGGGCTTGTGTGTCCCTGCCACCCCCCTTCGCCCCCTGCCTTCCATCTCCCACCCACCAGATGTGTGGCACTGAGTTTCGCAACGAGATTCAGCTGCTCTCAGCCGTGCGCCACCGCAACCTGGTGGCGCTCAAGGGCTTGTGTGTCCCTGCCACCCCCCTTCGCCCCCTGCCTTCCATCTCCCACCCACCAGATGTGTGGCACTGAGTTTCGCAACGAGATTCAGCTGCTCTCAGCCGTGCGCCACCGCAACCTGGTGGCGCTCAAGGGCTTGTGTGTCCCTGCCACCCCCCTTCGCCCCCTGCCTTCCATCTCCCACCCACCAGATGTGTGGCACTGAGTTTCGCAACGAGATTCAGCTGCTCTCAGCCGTGCGCCACCGCAACCTGGTGGCGCTCAAGGGCTTGTGTGTCCCTGCCACCCCCCTTCGCCCCCTGCCTTCCATCTCCCACCCACCAGATGTGTGGCACCGAGTTTCGCAACGAGATTCAGCTGCTCTCAGCCGTGCGCCACCGCAAACTGGTGGCGCTCAAGGGCTTGTGTGTCCCTGCCACCCCCCTTCGCCCCCTGCCTTCCATCTCCCACCCACCAGATGTGTGGCACTGAGTTTCGCAACGAGATTCAGCTGCTCTCAGCCGTGCGCCACCGCAACCTGGTGGCGCTCAAGGGCTTGTGTGTCCCTGCCACCCCCCTTCGCCCCCTGCCTTCCATCTCCCACCCACCAGATGTGTGGCACTGAGTTTCGCAACGAGATACAGCTGCTCTCAGCCGTGCGCCACCGCAACCTCGTGGCTCTCAAGGGCTTCTGTGTGGAAGCAGGCGAGCAGCTGCTGGTATATGAGTTCATTGAAAGGCTGAGAGAAGATATGGGGAGGTGAGATTTGATGGGGGAGAGGAGAGAATAGTGCCACCTGATGGTGGTGAGTGAGAGCACTCAAGGGCTTGTGTGTGGAGGCGGGCGGGCGTGCAGCTGCTGGTATATGAGTTCATTGAAAGGGGCACACTGGAGGACATGCTGAGAGGTGAGAAGAACTGTTGTGGTGGCTTGTGGTGCGGAGTGCGAGAGTAGAGGGAAAGATGATAAGTGCGCTCAAGGGCTTGTGTGTGGAGGCAGGGGAGCAGTTGCTGGTATATGAGTTCATTGAGAGGGGCACGCTGGAGGACATGCTGAGAGGTGAGGAGAAGAGGGGTGGTTGGCCTGTCGTGTTGAGGGCCTGAGGGCATTCACAGGCTGCTGTGTGGAGGCGGGCGAGCAGCTGCTCGTGTATGAGTTCATTGAGAGAGGGACACTTGAGGATATGTTGAGAGGTGAGACGAACCGGTGCGGTCAGCGTATGAAGTCCCGTTGAGTTTATGCAATCTCGTGGCCCTCAGGGGCTTCCCTGTGGAGGCGGACGAGGTTGCAGCTGAGGTATGAGCTCATAGAGAGAGGGACGCTTGAAGATATGTTGACAGGTAAGCATTTGGTGAGAAGAGAGAGTGAAGGAATAGGGGGTGAAGAGCAGAGGGGAGGGGAATGATGTCACCTTATGGTGAGTGCACTCACTGGCTTGTGTGTGGAGGCTGGCGAGCAGCTGCTGGTGTATGGGTTCTATAATGAGAGGGACACTCGAGCACATGCTGAGATGAGGAGTGAGCATGAATGAAGCCAGCAATGACGCAGCATCATTGCCTTCTGTTGCAGAGGCGATGTGAGGGGAGGGGAGACATCCCATACCTGTTTTGAGGCGATGTGAGGGGAGGGGAGACATCCCATACCTGTTTCTAGGCGATGTGAGGGGAGGGGAGGACATCCCATACCTGTTTTGAGGCGCCGAAAGAGGCATGCGAGTAGAGAGACAACTTTTCATGCGCCTCAAGAGTCGTCAAGTAAACCAACACCCCATACCCTTTCTCCCCATACCCTTTCTCCCCATACCCTTTTTCTCCCCTTTGTGTGCGCCGCCTATCAGCGGACTCAAAGCACCCGCTGACGTGGCGGCAGCGGGTTGACATCGCGTGTGGCGCAGCGAGTGGGTTCGCGTACCTGCACCATCAGATCAAGCCGCCCATCATTCACCGCGATGTGAAGGTAGGGAGAGGGAGGGTCCCCTTGTGTTGGAACATGCATACATGTCATCTGTGTGTATGTGTGCAAGCTTACATTGCCTGTGCACGGCAAGTGGGTTTGCATACGTGCACCATGAGATCAAGCCACCCATGATACCACCACAATGTGAAGAAAGGGAGGGAGTTATGGCGTGTGTGTGCTACAGGAACCTGCATACTGGCTCATGTGTGTGGGCGTGATGCAAGCTTGCATTGCATTGGGGTAGCCACTGTGTTTTGCTACCGGCACCATCAGATCAACCCGCCCATCATCCACCGTAACTTGAAGGTAAAGTGGGGAGAGTCCGTGTGTGTTGGAATATGCATGCATGCTCATATGTGTACATCTTGCATCGTATGCGGGGCAGCAAGTGGGTTTGCGTACCTGCACCATCAGATAAATCCGTCATCCACCGCGGCGTGAAGGTAGGGAGGGAGTCTGTGTATGCATGTGATACATCGCTGCTCATGCGTGTGGGACGTGCATGCAAGCTGCGTTGTGTGTGCTGTGCCAACATGCATGCATCCATGCTCGATTGTGTGTGTGAGTGAGCCGTGTTTATGTGTGTACATGAACCAATGTCCAACACAAATCAGCTGGCCAAGGGATTGGCATTGCCAGCTGGCCAGGCAGTGGGATTGGCATTGCCAGCTGGCCAGGCAGTGGGATTGGCATTGCCAGCTGGCCAGGCAGTGGGATTGCCTTGCCTATCTGCACCAAGGCTTGGATCCTTTGGAGAATTCTTAATAGCAGCTCCTTTGTATACACCCTGCCCGCCTTGCTTATTGCCCCTGGCCTCCTTTCCCCCTGACCCCTGCACCCTTCCCCCGTAACCTTGCCCCGTTGCCTGTTGCCCTCGTGCCCCTTGCCCTTCCCCCTATTTCCCCCCGCCTGTCACACCAGGTTTATCTCTGTGTTCCCAATGGAGCCCCGGAAAAGTCAACTTCCCCCTATCTCCCCCCGCCTGTCACACCAGGTTTACCTCTGTGTTCCCTCCGAAACTGACAGCATAAGCACCCCTTTGGCTACTTCCCCCTCTCCTTCCCCCCTTCGCCATTCCTTTCCCATGCCACGCCTACTACCAGACGGCCTACATACTGATCACAGCAGGGCTCGAAGCCAAGGTGGCCCACTTTGGTATTTCCAAGGCTGAACGCATATATGCCCCCCCCCTGTCTCGGTCATTCCCCCTCCCTTGATCATTCCCCCTCTTTCCCTCCCCAGACGGCCAACATACTGATCACAGCAGGCCTCGAAGCCAAGGTGTCCGACTTTGGCATTTCCAAGGCTGTGCCTGAGGAGGCGGAGAAAGGGGGGAGGCTGGAGACGCAAGTGAAAGGGACTGTGGTGAGTGCAGGGGGAAAGGGGGGAGGGAGGGAGTGACCGAGTATTTCCAAGCCTGTGCCTGGGGAGGCGGAGCGGGGAAGCATGGATACACAAGTGAAGGGAACAGTGGGGAGTGTAGGGGTGAGAGAAGGTGGTAAGTGTAGGGGTGGGGAAGGTGATTGCGGGGTTGGGGAATGGAGGCGGAGGTGAGTAACCGAGTATCTCCAAGGTGGTTCTAAAGGAGGTGGGGAATGGGGGGAGGCTGGACACGCAAGTGAAGGGGACGGTGGCGAGTGCATTGGGGGGAGTGGTGAGTGCAGGGGGGGAGGGAGGAGGGAGGGAGCGACGGAGAACTTCTAAGGCTGTTCCAAAGGAGGTGGAGAGGAGGGGGAGGTTGGACACGCAAGTGTGACTTTTCTTATTCGCCTTCAAATCCTTTCAAGTGCCAAAGGGGAGTGACTGTGTTGATACAGGCTGTTCCAAAATCCACTTTTCTTCCTCTCTGTTTCCCTTCCGCCTTGCCTACCTCAGGGCTATTTGGACCCTCAGTATTTCCAATGCGATTTACTCACAGAAAAGAGCGACATGTACAGCTTTGGCAGCGTGCTGCTAGAGCTAGCCATTCTCCTCCCATCGGTCTCCTCTCATTCTCCTCTCCCCTTTCGACTTGTGTGTCTCCCTTCAGGGCTATTTGGACCCTCAGTATTTCCAGTGTGATCTACTCACGGAAAAGAGCGATGTGTACAGCTTTGGGATCGTGCTGCTAGAGCTAGCCACGGGTCTCCGCCCCGTGACCAACGGGGAGCATATCCGATCAATCGTGATCGATAGGGTTACCAACCATGGTGGCGTGTATAGTGTCATGGACCCTGTAATCAAAGCCATGTGGGAGAGACAACAGAAGGGGGTTGTGGACGGGAGCAGGGAGCATGGGGGAGCAGGAGCGGGAGGGGGGGGAAGGGGAGGAGAAGGGGGGGGTAGCAGTGGAAGGGGGGAGGCAGGGGTGAGTGAGAGTGAGCCTCTGGGGGAGACGTGTGGGAGCGAGGCATTGGAGGATACGTTTGAGTGGTTCTTGCGGCTGGGAATGCGGTGCAGCCTGAAGCAGGCGCAGAGCCGACCCGACATGCAGCAGGTGTTGAAAGAGCTAGAGGGGATCAAGAAAATGCTTAACTGTGTTTCTGGCTCCCATAGAGGCACTGGTGCTGATGGTGCTGCTGCAGGCAGTTCTGCTACTGGTGCTGCTGCTGCTGGTGAATCTAAGGCTGCTGGCCCTGCTAATGGCGCTGCTAGTGGTGCTGCTAGTGGTGGTGGTGACGGCAGCAGTAGGGGTGACTATAGTGAACGGTCCAATGGGGAGAGGGGGGTTCCGTCGGTGCAGTGAAGTCCCAATCTGGTCGATATTTCTGGGCAGAGATCGTTGCGTCGGCGTCGAAAGGGCCGAGCAGGTTCAAGGAGGAGATAGCGGAGGAGAATGATGAGGAGGATGAGTCTTGGTTTGCTGAGCGGATGAAGAGGGGGATAATGAAGGGAGAGACATCGGGTAGCAATGCGGATGGGCTGCTGAACCACACGTTGACTTTCACTGGAAGTGAGCCGCAGATCAAGGTGGTTCCCCGGTGAAAAAGGGGAAGGGAGTAGGGGGCTGCTAGGCCACACGTTGACTTTCACCGGCAGTGAGCCACGCATTGAGGTGGTTACTTGATGGAAAGAGGAGGGATGGAGGGACGTGAAGCAGCAGTGGATGTGCTGCTGCTGAGCCACGCGGTGACTTTCACCGGGAGTGCCCCGCAGATTGAGGTGATACATCTGGATGTTGCTACGGTAAGCGTGAATGTTCTTATTTGAGTGATTTGCTGAATGGAGAATCGGGTCCACAAGATTTTTGCTTGGTAAATGTGTCAAATGTTGTAGCCAATAGTGAGGCTTGTCTTATAGGGTACAGCTGTTAGGATTAGGTTCATGTACCCCAACCAACACAATCAATGCATCCATTCGTTCTTGACATGGTATCAGCTAGTTTAAGATCCTGTGGGATCCCGTTCCTCTCGTTCACGCCCGTAGCGCCCGAGCCTGTCCCGTACCCTAGTGCCCGTTACGCCCCTACTGTCCCCTAGCGCCTATCCTGCTCGTCAGGGCCTACGTTATCAGAAATTTTCTGTCTGAATTTCTGGATTCCAAACACATTTTTAATGGTTCATCTGATGTCGTAGACATGTTTAATTTCATCTGATTTTTTAGACAAGCTTTTTATTCTCATCTGATTTCACAGACAGCCTTGTACAGTTCGTCTGAAACTGCAGACAGCGAGTTTTGCCATGCCACCCGCCGTGTTATTCTTCTACGCAATCCTGCCACCGCCAGGCTGTACGTTGCCTCTGGTCGGTGCAAACAAATACAGAGGACTCACCCCGCTGGCACGAATCTTGGCACAAATCTTGCCACCGCACGTCAAATGCAGAAATCTCAGATTACTACCTAGGATTCGTCTGAAATGCTAGACAATGTTACAGGTTTCGTCTGACAATCAGACAAGGAGTCAGAACCTAGTCTTAAACCAGAAGGGTCATTTTACTAAAGTTAGCCCTGCTGCTCGTCTCTCCCGCTGCGCCTGCTGTTGCGTCGCTCCTGCTATCCCGTCGCATGCGCCGTCCGTCCCGTCACGTCCCGCCGCGTCGTGTTGTCCGTCTGCGTCGCGCCGTCTATCCCGTCCCGTCCGTCCGCTGTCGCGTCCGCGCCTCCCGTCGCCCGCTGCCCCCGCAGTCGCGTCCGCGCCTCCCGTCGCCCGCTGCGCCCGCAATCGCGTCCGCGCTTGCCGTCGCCCGCCGTGTCTGCCGTCACGTCCGCGTCTGCTGACGCCCGCTGCGTCCGTCGTTGCCCTCCGTGCCCGCAGTCGCGTCCGCGCCTGTCGTCGCCCACTGTGCCCGCAGTCGTGTCTGCGCTCAACCCGCGCCGGCCGTGCTTGCCACGCCTGCCCCATCCGCGCCTGGCTGGCCACTTCTCCCGTCCTGTCAGTGCCACGCGCGCCCGCCATGCCTGCCGCGCCCGTTGCGCCTGCCGCACCAGCCACGCCTGCCGCGCACGTCGCGCTAGCCCTGTCCGCGCACTCCTCCCGTCCTCACTCGTCCGTGTCTGTCGCAAGTTCGCGCCCTACCCTACCGTCCTACAGTGCCCTTAGCCTCACGGACTGCCTATCACCCTCTACTCAGGCCCTTTAGGCGTTTAGGGTTTCGGCAACGGCAGTTCCCACCTCTTCGCTTTCGCTATGGCGACCCCTAGGGTCCTGCGCTTTGACGCCGAGGGTGGAGAAAAAAAACTTGTGTGGCCTCCGCTTGAGAAAAAAGTGGCTGCTCGAGTTCTTCGTCTGGCTCCTTCGTGTGCATCGCCTTTTAGAGAGTTAGGTTCAGGCAGGCGAGTCTCTAAGGGCGCACGCTTCCAGTGACCTTCCTGCGCCCGACGACCCTACGCCTTTAGGCACTGCCCCTGACGGCGCAGCTAGAGACCGGTATACCCGCCAGCGTGCTGACCTGACGGCGTGGAAGTCGCGTGACGCTGCGGCCTGCATCGCCCTTAGCAGCCTCCTCCCTGAGTCTGAGGAGGCCCACTTCACTCAGGTTCGCACTGCTAGTGAGTTCCTGACTGCGATCAAGGCCCGCTACGCTACTCCCACCACTGTCTCTCTTGGTCGACTATTGCTACCGTTCTTGTTCCCTGACCTCGCCTCGTTTGAGCGCTCTGCTGACTTGATCGCTCTGTTAAACTGTATTATGCTTGTAGGCTGTAGTGGGGTAGCCAATATGGGTACAACCCAAATTAGGGTTTCATATTTGTACCCAAACTTCTGCTAGTTCATTCATTCTTGCCTAGTTACTTTGATATGGTATTCAGAGCAGGAGGTCCCTAGGACCTACCGACCGTTTTTTTTTTAAGGGCCCACCACCGCTCGCATGCGGTTACCACGCTACCCCGTGCCCTAGCCTCGTAGCGCCCTCGTGCGCCCTCGTTAGCGCCCTCGCGCGCCCCTCGTTAGCGCCCTCGCGCGCCCCTCGTTAGCGCCCTCGCGCACCCTCGTTAGCGCCCTCGCGCGCCCCTTACTAGCGCCCTCGCGCGCCCCTTGCTAGCGCCCTCGCGCGCCCCTCGCAGCGTCGCCCGCCCGCCGAGCCGCCCGCTCGCAGCGTCGCCCGCCCGCCACGCTGCCCGCTCGCCCCTCGCCCGCCGCAATGCCTGCTCGCAGCGTCGCACGCTCGTCCCGCTGCCCGCTTCGCAGCCCGCTCGCCCCGCTGCCCGATTCGCAACCCGCCCGCCCGCTCGCTGCCCGCTTCGCGGCCCGCCCGCTTCGCTGCCCGCTCGCAGCGCCGCCCGCCCGCCCGCTACCTGCTTCGCAGCGTCGCCCGCCCGCTTGCTGCCCGCTCGCAGCGTCGCCCGCCCGCCCGCTGCCCGCTTCGCAGCGTCGCCCGCTCGCTCGCTGCCCGCTCGCAGCGTCGCCCGCCCGCCCGCTGCCCGCGCGCAGCGTCGCCCTCCCGCCTCGCTGCCCGCTTGCAGCGTCGCCCGCCCGCCCGCTGCCCGCTTGCAGCGTCGCCCGCCCGCCCGCTGCCCGCTTCGCAGCCGCCCGCCGCGCTGCCCGCTCGCCGCGTCGCCCGCCCGCCCCGCTGCCCGCTTCGCAGCCCGCCCGCCGCACTTCCCGCCTGCAGCGCCGCCCGCCTCGCCTGCTGCTCCCTGCCTGTGCACCGCCGCTTGCTCCTGCTGTGGCTGCTAGCTTCGCTCTAGCGCGTCCCCTCTGCTGCTGCTGCTGCTCTGCTGTGCCCTCACGCCTGAGCTATGGCCTCTATTCGCGTTCTTTCCTTCGATGCTGAGGGCCGTCCCGTGCAGTTCACTTCCTGGCTCGACGACCTGCAGTTGTATCTTATGAGCAATAGCACGGACCACATCTCCCTCTATGACTACGCGTCTGGTGCTGCCGCTGCTCCTGCTGCCACAGCCGAGCTTAGTGTACGTTCACAGTGGCAGACTCGTGACGCTGCAGCTCGCCTGGCTATTCGCAGTCACCTGCCGTTAGCTGAGCTAGAGCACTTTGGCGACTGCAAAACCGCTAAAGCCCTATACGACGCTGTCGTTGCTCGCTACTCCTCACCTGCCACAGCCGAGCTTAGCCGTCTCATGCTGCCTTACCTGTTCCCTGACCTGTCCACCTTTGCTACAGTCGCCGATCTTATCACCCACCTTCGCACTAGTGATGCTCGCCTGCGTGCCGCCCTTCCCACCGAGTTCTGCGCTAAGAACCCCCCTCCCCTGTACTGGGCACTCCACTTCATAGTCACCCGTCTCCCTGACACCCTCAGCTCAGTGCGCGACTATTTCCTTGCTCGCTGTCCCACTGAGCTCACTGTCGCCCTCCTAGAGGAGAAGCTGCTAGCAGCCGAGAAGAGCATTGTAGCTGTTGGTGCTGCTCGCGGCGCTCCTCGCACCCCCATCTTTGAGGGGTGCTCTCCCTCTCCCCTCGCTCCCTCCTATGCTACTGCTGCTGCTGTTGACTTCCTTGGTGCTGAGTCTGCTGGCGCTGCTTCTGCTCCTGGTGGGAGGCGCCGCACCGGCAAGGGCAAGGGGGGCAAGGGTGGCGGGGGTGGCGCTGGGGGGGGAGGGGGTGGGGGAGGTGGGGGGGGAGGCGGTGCTGGAGGGAGCGGTGGCGGGAGTGCCGGTGGGAGTGGGGCCGGCGGCGGAGGCGGGGGCGGCGGCGGGAGCAGTGGCGGTGGTGGCAGCGGCGGCAGTGGCGGCGGTGGCGGTAGTGGCGGTGGCGGTGGCGGTGGTGGCGGTCGGAGCGGAGGTAGTGGCGGCGGTGGAGGTCGGAGTGGAGGCACCGGCTCGGGCCAGAGCTCCCAGCAGCAGCAGCGTCCCCAGTCGACCCAGCAGCTTCGTGAGTGGCTTGCTCAGCGTGGGACGTCGGGGGGCAGTGGCCGCTGTTCCTATGTCATTCGCACAGGTGATCGCAAGGGGCAGACGTGTGGAAAGTTCCACACTCAGTACCGCTGCTTCTTCCGCCTTGACGACGCTTGGCGTGAGGAGATGGGCGAGGATGTTGAGCGCCCTCGCTGGGCTGAGCTGATGA